GGTTTTCTTCCCTAAAAAGACACTTATGAACCAGATGGGTTTTTAATCAACAATAATTTCATACTTTTTGAATCCAGGTTTATTACTTGAATATAAATTCCATCCCCTGTTGTAGCGGGATTTGAAACAATGTCAGCAGAGAACCAAAACAGAACTAAGAACTGGGAATGTTGTAATCTGAACCAAAAATAGAAATTGCTGGAGAAATTCAGCAGGTCTGGCAGCATCTGTGGAGAGAAAGCAGAGTTCTGAAGAACAGTCACTGGGCTTAAAACACTAACTCTGCTTTCGCTCCACAGATGCTACCAGGCCTGCTGAGTTTCTCCAGCAATTTCTGCTTTACGTTTCAGTAGAGAAGCAACCTGGTCCTCTAGATTACAAATCCCAGTCCCAACTTCTTCCCACCTGATTGATAAATAACTGGCAGTACAATTCAATTTGCGTAGTACCCTGAGAGCAGATATCAGCCCTTGGACAGGCCTTCCTCACACCCACTTTGACTGTGCACTCTCTGGTTGTACCACATCACAGTATAAAAATACAGTTTAAAAGTCCCTGGACAGGAATTTTTCTCAAGGTGCAAGAACAGAATGAACATTTCCATCCTCACTCTTATAATCCAGGTCTTTCTGTATGTCTGGATATACTGTTAGCCGTATATCTCAAGTCTCCAAACATATGCATCATATTCCACTACCCTAAGACTGTAACAAAGCGAACAAATTGTGTTGAGCCTGCCTCTATTTTTTTGAAAGATGTCTGGTATATTTTTGTATTGTGATATTTGCAAATCAGGAAATTAAAATCCCTGTTTGTTTTAAAAGAGATTGTGAAACTTAGCTTTTGTTTCTTCGTAAATAAAAGTAATAGTCTTATATTTATACCAGTATTTAAATCGTACTGTTGGCAGGCCTAATTCTATCTGCAATACAATTATAGGAACTATTAGTCAAATACTTTCATTACATCCCCGTAATTGGCTTTTTATTTGTGTAATCATGTATGAGAGATTCCAGCACTATTAAACTTAAAAGTCACGGTGATGGCTTCATGTTCCATTGAATTAACCCTTCATCTGCTGCATTTCTCGCCATCTGAAAGGATTCTTTCCAAAAAGGATCCCTGTTTCACACACTGTTCCATGAGAGTAGGAGTCGGAAAATTTCATTCAGGTCCTTGGGGAGCATGGTATCAGTCTGCCCATGTCCTGTGCATGCAGACACGTACATGTTTTCACACGCTGTGTACGTATGAGTGTGTACTTTATGTATGTGTTATGTACACATGCATGTATGTGCCAGTGTGTGTTGTCTGCGTGTTTTAAGTATCTGAGTGTGTGCATGTCTTAGTACATGCGTTTGTATGTAACCATGTGGGCTTTGCACTTATGTTGTTACACAACATGCATCCTAGCAGAAGCCCCACAGTCTCAGTGTGTTCAGAAGGCCATTAGGGAGACCGTGGGGGTGATGGTTGATGACACTGCCCTTTGTAAGCTCAATGACCTCTGGCAGGAAAACTAGGCTCAATGCTGGAGGTAATGTTTGACCCAGGATTGCCAAACCTAAGCAACAGGAACTAAGGGTAGGATCATAGAACATTACAGCCCAGAGGGAGGCCAATTGGGCTGAGATGTCTGTGCCAGCTCTCTGAAAGATATTTGGTGCTAAGAAGGATTGAAATGAGCAAGAGAGGAGTTTCAGGGTATACAGTAATTGCACCAGATCTAATCCACTCTGGGCTATTGATATGAGGAACTGTTAACCCAACTGATCTCAACTGGTGAGACATTACGCATTAGCACCCTTTGACTTTAGCAGTTTCTGGCTCCAGATCACGAAACATGACTCCTGCTGATCGAGGACAGGATAAAAGTTCACAAGGAAATTTCTCCAAAATCAAATATCGAATATGATCTCTCGAGGCTGACTCAGGATCTAATGCCTGCTGAGACCGTTGTTGATATGTTGCTAGTACCTCTGATCCAGTAACTCAGTGGGAGGTGTGATTGTCAAAGATTGTTTCCTCTCCCTAACCCAGGGACACAGAGGACAACTGTAGTGAACTCCTGCGATCAGCTAATTCAGAGCACACTCGGGATCAAACCTGGTACCTGCCTGGATGACATATCTCAGATCCATATAGCATGCTTGTCTGTCCCACTGAACTAATCCAGAAACCAACAGGCCATTTCGGAATAATGTAGCTAGGTCTTTAGGACAGTTAACTCCCTTGATAGCCTGTGGAGATTAACATTCAATTGCACTCTTTTAAAAGGAAGGGAGCTCCACACTTTACACAGCAAGAATTCCACAGCAACCAGAAACAGGATTATCTCTATGTAAAATGTAGAGCAAAGCAGTATACAGGCCACATCCAGATACCACGACAAGTCAAACTTATCACTGCATTGGGATAGCCCCCAGTCACCCCACACACTATGGAGTAATCAACCCACTACAGGAATGGGGCAATTTCCTTTCATTTTCAACTTGTCTGCCTTCACCCCGACCACCCTCCTGATGCTTTTTCTCTTTATTCTTCCACGGGATGTGAGTGCTGTTTTGCTACTCATCCCTATTAGTCCTTGAATGGAGTAGCTTGCTCTGCTATTTCAGAAGCGTGTTAAGAGCCAATCATGTCGCTGTACGTCTAGAGCCACATGTTGGTCAAACCAGTAAGGGCAATAAATTTCCTCCCCAAAAGGATATTTGTGAGCCAGATGGGTTTTTTGGTTTACAACAATCGAGGACAGCTGTCGCTGTCACCATTACTGAGACTGGCGTTCAGTTCCAGGTTTATCAACTGCATTTAAATGCTACAAGGTGCCAATACACAGCTATGATGTGCAGCTGCCTTCATAAGTGGCTACGTTCCGAAAGCTTGTGACTTCAAACAAACCTGTTGGACTATAACCTGGTGTTGTGTGATTTCTCACTTTGAACACACAGCTAGTTCTGTGAGTACATGGAGCCTAACCTCCTGCCCCTCCCCTCCCCACCCACACTTCCCAGGTACTCTCATACAGTCATGCAGCACAGAAACAGGCCCTTCAGCCCAACTCGTCTATGCCTACCAGGTTTCCTAAACTGAACCAGTGCCATTTGCCTGCATTTGGCCCATATTCCGTTAAACCTTTCCTATCCAAGTACTTTGTCCAAATGTTTTTTAAATATTGTAATCGTACTCACCTCTTCCGCTTCCTCTGGCACATTGTTCCATATATACAACACGCTATGCGTAGAAAAGTTGTCCCTCAGGTCCCTTTAAAATCTTTTCCCTCTCAACTTAAACTTATGCCCTCTAATTTTGGACTTCCCTACCCTGGGGAAAAAGACATTGGCTATTCACCCTATCCATGCCCCTCATGATTTTATACACCTCTATAAGGTCACCCCTCAGCCTCCTACGCTCCAGTGAAAAAAGTCCCAGCCTATCCAGCCTCTCCTCATAACTGAAACCCTCCAGTGTCGGTAAAACACTTCCCAGTTTAATAACTTTCTTCCTACAGCTGAGCAACTAGAATTTACGCAATTCCTTAGAAAATTATCGCTCTGGATAGTGATAACACAGTGTGGAGCTGGAGGAACACAGCATGCCAGGCAGCATTAGAGGAGCAGGATAGCTGACGTTTCGGGTCGGGACCCTTCTTCAGAAATCAGGAGGGGGAAGGGAGCTCAGAAATAAATAGAGAGAGAAGGGGTGGGGCTGGGGAAGGGAAGGGGGATGGTGATAGGTGAGCGCAGGTAGGGAGTGGTGGGGATTGATCAGTGGAATGGGTGGGGGGGATAGGTGGGAGAAAAGATGGACAAGTTGTGTCAGGTCAAGGAGGTGGGAATGAGAGGGAGGTTTGGACATGGGATGAGGCCAAGGTTGAGGAGATTTTAAAACTAGTGAATTCCATGTTTAGACCATCGGGCTGTAGGCTCCCAATGCTGAACATGTGGTGTAGTCCCTCCAGTTTGCGTGTGGCGTCATTGTGACACTGGAGGAGGCCCAGGATGGACATGTCACCCAGGGAGTGGGAGGGGGAGTTGAAAGGTTCACAACCAGGAGGTGTTGTCGTTTGTCACGTATTGAGCACAGGTGCTCTACAAAACGGTCTCTGAGTCTACGCATGGTCTCACCGACGTAGGGGAGGCAGTATCCCACTCCCACGCCCACATCCCCCTCCCACTCCCTGGGTGACAGGTCCAAATTGGGCCTCCTCCAGTGCCACAATGACACCAAATATGGAATTCACCAGTTTTAAAATCTCCCCACTCCCAGCCTCATCCCACATCCAACCCTCCCTCTCATCCCCACCTCCTTGAACTGACACAACGTGTCCATCTTCTCTCCCACTCATCCCACTGACCAATCCTCACCACTCTCTACCTGCATTCACCTATCGCCATCCCACCTACCTTCCCAGCCCCACCCCTGCTCTCCCTCTCTATTTATTGCCCAGCTCCCTTCACCCTCCCCCATTCCGAAGAAGGGTCCCGACCCGAGGCATCAACTTTTCTGCCCCTCTGATGCTGCCTGGCCTGCTGTGTTCCTCCAGCTCCACACCGTGTTGTCTCTGATTCCAGCATGTGCAGTTCTTGCTATCTCTGGATAATGAGCCTTGAGAAGAGTGGTTTTCGATCATGGGCGACGATCGTGGACAAGGCTAACTCTATCTTCATCCATCTTCCAAGTACACAAGCACCCTTGTGATGTAGTGATCCCGGGGAGAGGGTTCATGTTGGCCAGAGAATCTCTAGGAAGCCAAGCTGATTGTGGCTCAGCATGGAACAGTGTGCAGAATGATTCGAGATTAAGCCTAGAGAGCTTGGCAGTCCCACAGGAGTCAGTGCACTCCCCACCCGCGCCATTGGGAACAACAACCCACTGGAATCCCGGAGCACAATAGCCAGATATCAGCAGGAGCACTGGAAGGAACCAACCCACCGACGATGGTTATAAAGGATCATTGAGGCTCACAGAAGCACCACCGCCAGGTCACCCAGAATTACGGGATTCCTCACCTGTGTAGATGAATCGGCCTGGAGTCCCTTTGCAGAACTGTTTCGACTTGTAGGACAGTGTGACCTCCACCACACCAGGGATGTGCCGCGGAGGGGTTTGCACTCTAATTGCGTGCGGAGTGATAAGCTGCAATAAAACACAGTAACAATGCCATCAGGCTATCAGGTGATGTTCTTTAGCAACACTTCAGTGCCAAGTTTGAGTAAACAGGGCTTTCTCAAATCTGCAATAAATGTGTCACTGCCCTAATACGCTGTTGATAGAATGCACATTAAAATGTACTGACAAGAGTATTAAAAGTGTTTTACAACACAGTTGTAAAGCAATTAACTCTGTATTCTCCTGGCCTGATGCAGCTTGGCCGACTCTACGCCCTGAACACAATGTGCAACAGGGACACAATTCATAAAGGTGTCTTAATAGAACTGGCTACTTTATTTTAAAATATGTCTTTTAGAGATTACCGGGGAGGTGGTAGAGGGATTTCCTTTTGTATCTGATACCCATTACTTCACACTTTAGTCTGTGTAAGCCATTACCGCTGCCCTCCAGGACTGCGTGGTGAAGCTGAGAAAGCCCCACCAGATGGTTAAGGTCACAAAGCTGTAAGCAGCAGCTGACAAGCCAACCTTGAATGTGCCTTGAATCTGACCAGCAATTTAATCTGGACAGGCTTGGTCATGAGCACCCCAATTAAAATTCAAATGGTAGACACTCTGTTGCCTGGCTGGGTAATTTCGCCCACACTCGCTTGCGTAGACAGAGGGTCAGAAGGTTTCTCTATTAAAATGTTGCGCGGAGAAACCAAAACACAAAACGATTCAAGAAACTCAGCCAACAATCCAGCTGCATTTTGAATGATCCTCGTGTTTCTGACTCGGTTAATGAATGTAGCAGATTCCTACAAACATCTAGCCCAATTTTAACATAACGCACATGGCAGGTACGGTGAAGTAGATGGGGCACAAGCCTGTTGTACATTCCTTGCCTGATGAAATCAGTGGAGTGTAAATTTGTGCAGGCTTGGAGAATAAAACAGGTGCACAGCCCTAATCTTTTCAGCTTGTTAGGAGAGGGTTAGATTAATACCAGAGCCAAAATCCAAGCAAAATCATCTACTCCAATTATTAGTTCTGAATGTACTTTTCACAAATTGAAATTTATGTTCTCAATCTGGCTGGGTTAATGTCAATGTAATAATTAGGGTTGATAATATTCTCATTTTAATATGTACCAAGGAGCTGCAGATCTCCCATGATAGTGTTCATTCAGAATCAGAGATTGGCTGCTTTTTAACAGCATTGTTGTGAATACCCAGCAGGGGATAACAGTAGGACCACTGACTTACAAATTTCATCTATATTAAGTGGTGATCAAACGGTGATCTGCATCTTTTTTCTACTGGGGCTTCAGGGACTGAATTCTAAAAATCTGTCTTTTACTCCTTGAAATCTATCAACGATTTATTTTACAAACATATTATTTTGTCTACGCATTGTTAAAACTGAAAAATCTCATGCAAAATTCATCAGTTGAGCTTAGATGGTACATTGCTTAATTGACTAGCCCATGATCATGCTGAGTCAAAATCGGGAAGTCTTTCCTCGTCCTAATTTTATGGTCTTTAACAAGTTCAGATGAATGTGGAAAACCAGCAACTGTCATACAATGGAACAGTGCAGAGGCTGAAAATCTGAAACAAAACTAGAAAATCTTGGGAGGAAAATTCAGTTTAGGCAGCGTCTGTGTGGAAGAGAAACTGAGTTAATGTTTCAGCTCAGAGATAACACAGTTGACTTTTCAGGTTGGGACCCTTCTTCAGAAAATGAAGAAGGGTCCCAACCCAAAACGTCGACTTTCTGGCTCCTCTGATGTTGCCTGGCCTGCTGTGTTCCTCCAGCTCCACTCTGTGTTATTTAATGCTTCAGCTCTGTGGCCCTTCCTCACAACTGGGAAAAGTTAGAGATGTGACAAAAGTTTGAGCAAGGGATGTGTGGGCCACAGCTCAAAGGAGGGTCCATGATAGGGTGAAGGTAGCTCAGGCTGAAGGGCAGAAAAGTTGGTCCTCCAAAGCCAAAGAGATTGGAGACAGGTGAAGAACAGAAATGAAGAAACAAAAGATGTGCCTGAAGCAGTTATGCAGCTGAAAGAAAATGAAAAGAACTCCCCGAGAGATAAAGAAAAGCAAACAAAATGGGGGCCATGTTTACAGTCTGAAATTGTTGAGCTCAGTGTTGAGTCCAGAAGTGCCTGGCTGTAAGATGAAGTGCTGTTCCTCCAGTTCATGTTGACTTTTACTAGAACAGTGCAAAAGACCGAGGAGGGGACAAAGAGGTCAGTGCGAGGGCACGGCAGAGAATCAAGATAACAGGCCACAGATCAGGGTGAGCACCTTTCAAGGATGAAAGCAAGAGACAAAATGGCTTTGGAGCTTTTACAGGCGAGGTAAGGGGAGAGGTTTGGACCAAACTGTAGGAATGCTGAGGGGCGAGGGTCACAGCATTGTGGAAATACTATCTGGACTGAGGGAAGAGGGGTGCGGGAGGCAAGTGATGGTAACTCAGGGGCTAGCGAGCCTGTGGAAGGATGGTGCAAGCTGGCAAGCTTGAGGAAGGGGGTAGCGAGGGTGGGGGAAGCAGTCTGTTGAGGGTTGAGGGGCAGCAAGCAGTGGATTCCAACCAAGGGAGAAAAGTATAGGCTGGGTGTGTGCAAAAATCAGCAATCTAAAAAAGGGCAGGAATGATATCACAAACCCCAGGGCATGGGACAACCACCTCATATATGGGATAGTCCCATTCTGGTGCAGTCAGAACAGAGATAAATAGAGATAGACAGGCATGAGGATGGAAAGGTCTGAAAGGGTTGATGATGAGGACTGCATTAAGCACTTCCAGTATGTGAATGTCATAGAGACTCAGAGCAGTGGGGAGAACAGTTTTAGACCTCGAAGGGGTAAGACCAGACATTGAGGTCTCCTTACTAACCTTAGTAACAATGCCTATTATACCAATGTGACTTCTGCTTAGTTGCTACCCTGAAATAAACAACACTGTGTTTGAGGCAGATGGTCCTTCTCATTAGACTGCCAATTGGTTTTCCTGTACCATGCTACAGTGGGCAGCCCTGCTGATCCCAGGAAAGAGGATAGCCAGAGATCTACCAGATAGATCTTGTTCCATGGTGGGGATCCATTTTATAACATCGGCCAGCGGTGAGCATCGCTTCAGTTTATAACTAGACAGCCAGTAGCAGATGTCTTTCGAATCTTCAGACACAAAAAGAAGGTCACTGGAGCAAGCAGACAGCAGCTGAATGGGTTAGTCTTCCAAGAACCCCGTGGAAGAGAGAATCTCAGCAAGATTCCTCAAGGCAGAATCTATAGCCAGCGGTAAAAAGCAACTCAGATCCAGTGAGAGGTGTGCAGCAGTAAATGTGAGCAAGAAATCCCATGGATTGGAGTTTATTATGGTACAGTCATTAAGAGGATGGCAATCGTTTATTAAAGCTACAGGCAAGGGGTTCCATTTGGTATAACCATCAGGGGAACAGAATTGTTTGTTAATGCTGCAATTAGTGGGATATATTTGGGAAAAAAAAGTGGAAGAAAAGTAAGAATCATCCACTTGGCTCACTAAAGAGCAGGAATCCCCCATTTTGACTGCAAAAATACGGGACAACAGTACACAGTAGCAGCATTGCTATCCTGCAGAATTAAAATCCTTTAAAGCAAGGAAAATGGATATTCACAATATCCAGGAAGATACGGCAGCAGAAATAATTTTGCCAGAAAGCTATCATTTCAGAGATGGCCAAATAGAACACAGAATTGGACATCATGCAGTAAACAGCTCTTAAGATAAGGAATAGTTTCTCATTAGATACTAATTCACAGGCAGTAGAACAAGTTGATATACAGCTACATAAACAATTAGAAGTATAGCTGATGATATTGTAGCTTACCAAGGTCTAAAAGAAGCAACAGACACTTTTGATCAAGTTGTGCAGTTGTTGACAATTACTTTAGTCCCAGAACAAATAACATTCTTGAAAGAGCAAGATTTAATAGAAAAATTCAGCATCAAGGTGAATCTAAAGATAATTTCATTACTGATCTCTATAGATTCATGGGAAAATGAGCTTAATGTCAGAATTCTTAAGAGACAGATTTGCTGTTGGAATTGTTGATGAGTCTTGGTCAGATTTATTTTAGTCAAAGGAAGATCTGACTTTGGAGAAAACTACACTGATGGTGAGTGAAATTGAAGTCTGGAAGCAACACAGATCAAACCTCAGAGGAGAAGAACAACTTTATCACAGCAAATCAGCAGAATCCATTCAGTTCGTGAGGTACCAAAACAACAAAGCCACAATAGAGAGCATAGTCGGTAGAGAAAATAAACTAGATAATCGATATTAAGCGTCCAATTTGAGTGATGTGCAATAAGGACCCTCACAGGCATCAATAGTACCCAGCTATTTAAAAATCTGTAAAACACTATGTCATTTTCAAAAGATGTACAAAGTTTCAGAGCAGCAAATCTTCAAATAGCTACTCAGGGGAAGAACTTCATGCTATAGAAAAGGATACAAAAGAAGCAAAGCCAAAGGTTTTAAACCAAAAGTTAGAAGAAAGAGATGAACCTTTTGGCAAGAATGTTACTAATTTTAAGCTTGATTAGGGGCAAGTCTCATTATATTATCAGATAGTGAAGGAACACTGTTTACAGCCTAAACTACCACAATGGCATGGTCCAAGAGTATATAATTTAAGATTAAAGGTATGCTATAAGCAACTCTGTAACACAAGGAGTTTCAGGCAGTAGAGAGCATATATTTACTCACTCTTAAGAAAGAATATATGTGTTACCCTTAACTTTCTTTGAAAGATCAAAGAGATTAACCAGCAAAGATTACAAGGTTTTCTTAACAGGGTTCTACTTCGAGTCATTGATTCATAGTCATAGAGTCACACAGCACAGAAACAGACCCTTTGGTCCAACCAGTCCATGCCAAACATAATCCCAAACTAAACTAGTCCCACCTGCTCCTGGCCCATATCCCTCTAAACATTTCCTATTCATATGTCCATCTAAATGTTTTTTAAACTTTGTAAGTGTACCCACATC